TGTGTGTGTGTGTGTGTGTGTGTGTGTGTGTGTGTGTGTGTGTGTGTAATGAAGTCCTAACCACCCAGGCAAAGGGACTGTCTCGTCTGTGACATGTATGCCAGTGCTGGGAGCTGCAGTGGAGTGCAAGTGTCCATTGACAGGATGCTGATAAGAATGGATAGAGATGACAGGCATGGTGGCATGCTAACTACAGGTATCCGTTTTCCATGAAGAGATGAACTCGCCCACGGAGCATTTTCGAGTCCATAATTCTGCATCGGCTACTTGAGTTTCCCAAATGTGTGTTTCACATCCCTGCCTAGTATTTCCCCTTCTTTGTTTTCCATTTCTCTCAGCTTTCCTATGTGGATTCGGACGGCAATCCCATCGGAGTGGTGCAGATGACTTTCCTGAGGCTCTTGAGCGCCTCCGCAAACCAGAACATCACCTATAATTGCTACCAGTCTGTAGCATGGCAGGATGCCACCACGGGCAGCTACGACAAAGCCATCCGCTTCCTGGGCTCCAACGACGAGGAGATGTCCTACGACAACAACCCTTACATAAGGGCTGTCCTAGACGGTTGTGCAGTAAGTATACACGCTGACAGAGTTAGGCATAGGAAGAGCTTCTACACACAAAGCAGAGTCAGTCTGGCTTAGTAACTAGACCTGGGGGGTGTCAGTCAAGACTCAGGGCTTTTTCTTCCCTAGCTCTGCCACTTACTCAGTGTAGGATGTTGGGGGAAGTCACTTCAAAAATTTTCAAGTGTCCCGTGATTTTGGGTACTTCTGTTTTTGGGTTTCCAACTCGGAAGACTTGGGGCCTGATGTTTTAGAGGTGCTGAGAAGTTAGTTTCCACTGTCTTCAGTTAGGATAGGGAGTTCTCAATACCTCCGCTGAGTTCTCAGTGTTTCTTGTTGGGCACCTAAAAGCAAAGTGCTTAAAATGAGCGGCCACTTCTGAACATTTTCACCTTAACCTCTCAATGGCTCAGTTTACTCATCTGTAAAGGGGACAATAATTACGTACCTACCACACAGGAGTCTTTCAAGTCTTCTTTAATTAAGTATTTTGGAAGCAGTTTATTTTATAGTTACACAATGGTATGATTCCACAGAGGAGTGAGCTCTGTAAATCTATCCTGAAAGGCAAAGCGTTAAAGACTGGAGTTTGGTTTTTCCACTGCATGCTCCCAGACCCAACTTCCCAGAGTGGGGCATGGTATTGTGATGGATTTTTACATCTGAAGCATGCAAGCCTGGTGATATTTGATCAGCCTCCGGATTTAAAAGGATTGTGTTACCGTGCACCTCTACTGCATGACTTCATTCTTGAAATTGACAAAGGAGATAGGAAGTGAGGGTTCAGTTTGCTCAATGCTTGCAGCCTGTCTCCTGGTTATAGGGCAATCATACACAAGGCCTAATCCCATAGGAAGGATGGTTCTAGTGGTTGGGGCACTAGCCTGGGACATATAAGACTTAGGTTCAGTTCCCTGCTCTATCATGGGCTCCCTGTGTGACCAGCAACAAGTTTCTCTGGATGTCAGTATCCCATCTGTAAAATGGGGATAATAGCACGGCCCTACCCTGTAGGTAAATAAAAGATTGTGAGGTGTTCCAAAACTATTTTAGTAGGGACCATTGAAGTACCTTGGAGAGAGAGAGATTATGGAGGCAAAACTTCCACCCGAGACAAGAATTGTACATATAGGTGCCTACATTTTGCCCACAAAAATAGCACGCACCTTGCCTGCATTTGTACGTAAGCAGGTATTGATGCAAGTAAATTGAGTTTGTGATTCACCCGGATGTAGGTATGCCGTTTTGCCATTTGTGCAGGTAATTGTGGGATTTGTGCTTGCACATATTTTGCAGGCTCATCTTAGATTCTAAGGGTCTGATTTTTCAAGAGTTCAGGGCCAGATTTTTAAGTTTCACTACCCATAATTCAGGCCAAATTTTTAAAAATGCTCAGCTCTACCTTTTGTAGCTAAATAAGGGCCAGATTTTCAAAGGTGCTAAGCATCCTGTATTTCTGAACCTAACTGGGAGCTGAGCTCTTCTGAAAATCTGGAATCTAGATTTGGGCACTGACCCTCTCTGAAAATTGTAGCTCCCTGTCTGAAAAATTGGTGTAATGTTTGCCAGTTCAGTTCATGCTAGGACCCAGTTTCTTAAAACTTGGAAATATGCAAAACCTCTCCTTCTTCTGCAACTGGGATGATCAAAATCCACAGGACTAAAAGAAAAAAAGAAAATATTGCGATGTCTCAGGAAGTGAACCTTTAATAGAATTTAAGAGATTAAGTCGAACTCCGTTCGGAAGCCGGAGTGTTTTTGCTATAGAAGCACTGAGGGAAAATTCAATTAGAGTCACTAATTCTCTTAATGCTGCTGCAGAGAGATGAAGAGTGCTCATCCCATAGCTGAAAACACTCAGAAGCCACGTGGGGAAGTTTATTCTCAAGTACTTCATATCTCTTGACAATATGATGTGCCTTAGAAAAGTCACCCCCCATCTCACCTTTCCGTACTAAATCTCAGGGAAGCTGGAAGATCACGCATCCCAGATTTAAAAGCCGATATGCTTGATGAAAAACATTACAGTTAGAAATTATTTTGCTCAGGCGTCCAACATTTTCTACATTTCTTTTCCCTTGTTCTTTCTGTAGCTACAGATATTTGCAGGAAAACAGCCCTCTTAAGAGTTTATTTGCCTCTGTTGTTGTTGGTTACCAGAAACTGTAACATAACCTGTTATTAGAGCAATCAGTTTGGATGTCACAAACAGAAGAATATGGGGCTGAATAAACAGCAAGAGCACAAGGGATTGTGACTGGTGGCTATCGTTACCACTGCAGTAGCACCTAGAGACTCTGAATGAGATTGGGGATTTATTGTGCTAGCCACTACACAGACAGTAAGGGCTAGTCTACACTTACCCGGTAGTTCGACGGCTGCGGATCGAAGTTCCGAGTTCGATTTATCGCGTCTGGTCTGGACGCGATAAATCGAACCAGGAAGTGATCCCCGTCGACTGCGGTACTCCAGCTCAGCGAGAGGAGTACCGCGAAGTCGACGGGGAGCCTGCCTGCCGCGTGTGGACCGCGTCTGAACCGCGGTAAGGTCGAAGTATGGTATGTCGAATTCAGCTACGTTATTCACGTAGCTGAATTTGCGTACCTTACTTCGATTTGGGGGGTAAGTGTGGACCAGCCCTAAGAGACACTCGCTGGCCCAAAGAGCTTACAGTCTAAATAGAAACATTGTGAAAAGGGAAATGGTCACAGAGAGGTAAAGTGACTTGCCCAAGGTCATAAAGCAAGACAGTTGCAGAGTCAGGAATAGAACCTGAGTCTTCTGAATCCCAGGCCTGTGGCCTATCCATTAGACCACACTGCCTCTCGAGAGATGGGTCTGCAAAGGTTAATTCTCCAATTAAAATGTGCTATGCTACCATACTTGAAAATAGTGCAAAAAAGAGAAACTATTCAAAACAGAATGGGCCGGATCCTGAGCTGGTGTAAATCGCCAGGCTCCACTGACTTCAGTGAGACTATGCCAGTTTACTCCAACCAGGCACCTGGCCCCATTATTTCTTTTCAGTTTCCCAGGCTGCAGCTATAGCAAAGATTATTATAGCATGTTATTTATTACTTGTACCGTGCCCAGAGATGTGCTAGGCTCCAGGCCGATTGGGCGGACATGGCCCCCGCCTAGGGTGACCAGACAGCACGTGTAAAAAATCAGGACTGGGTGGGGGGTAATAGGTGCCTATATAAGAAAAAGCCCCCAAAATCGGGACTGTCCCTATAAAATGGGACATCTGGTCACCCTACCCCACCCCACTCTAAATGTACACCTACATTTACGGAGGCATGAAGGGTATGGACACTGCACGCCCAACTAGCACAGGTATAATTGGGAGCATAGACCGTGAGGCAGAGCTTAGGTAAATAGAGTAGTGTGGCCTACACGTCTGACCCCCCCAGAGTATGGACCCCTATAGGGCTCTCTACGCGCCCAAGCAATGCTTCCTACGTCCACCCTGCTATTTTTAGTAGTGTAGTGTCCTGCTGCCTCCTTCCTGCCAGAGCCTTCCCTCACCCACCGGCGTGAAAGTCTCTGGCAGCAGGGAGCTCTCAGAGTTTTTCCCCATTGCCTCCCCCTGCTAGATCCTTTCATTGTGGCATGGAGCTGCACATGTCGTGCCTGAGCCCTGCGTGCTGCCATGTAGACGTAGCCTGTTGGTCTGGATTGGGTGAATTTGCTTAGTCTTCATGACCCGGGCTTGGGAATGTCACTCCTCCTCTGCAACATCCACCATTTCCAAATCCATCAGTCGGAACCCAAGTGCTGCGGCTGCTATGTCAGAGCCAGCCAGTCCCTGGATATCTCCGGGTGCAGGGAGCCAGGACACAGTCTACGCACCTGTGAGGCTTTAAATGGTGCATGAACTTGTGGTCATCTTCTGCACAGGGTGAATTTCATCCTGCCCAGCGCTGGGCACCCTCAATGCACATTGATATCAATGGGAGTTGAGGGCACTCAGTTCCTTGCAGAAACAGGCCACAGGTTTACTAAGGCAAAGCTCCCAAGTTCAAAATACAATTTTTGCCAGAGTGAGGCCATCAAGGATTGGGTCATAGCGTTGGAATGATAATGGCCATCTAACCAATGTAGCACTGCTGCAGAGTTCCTGGGGAAGCTGATCAAATGCACACTCCTGCCATGATTCATTCTGTTACAGCGAACACCAGAGGAATTCCAGTGCTAATGTTTGGGCCATTATTTGAATGTGTTTTCACTGGTCTTATAGCCCTTTTTTGGTTCCTGTGATATACCCTGTCCTTCTGAGACACACAAATCAGAGGGTACGGTAAAGCAAAAAAAAGCCCCTCCATAAATTCACTTGTTAGTGCAGTTTTGTATGCCCGTGGGTGCACTTCTGCTCCTCTAATACTTATTTATATTTCGGAAATAAGTGTATGGCCAGCAGGCATGATAAAAAGACAACATCACCTTGCAAATTCCATCAAACTTTAAATGTGGTCTTTTTTGTAGAGCTTGGATAATAGTCAAACTAATAAATGTAAATTAAATAGCACACATTTGCTCAACAACCCAGGATCCTCCTCAGGGAGGTAAAACAACAATACTGCAGCCACAACCATTTTACTAGACTCCTGTCCCAGCCCTGGTACGTGCTGAAGACTGGATTAACATCTCTGCATGTACTCAGCAGCTGCTTATGCTTCTCCAGAGGCCTGTCTGGTTACAGTAACCTCTTCCCATTTTTGTTGAATGGTAATGAATCATCCCGTACAATTGTGTGGGTCATGGACAGTGGAATATATATGTTCAGGGTAGGGGTCATTATATTAATGAGTCTTGTAGCTGGTGAATAGCCCGACATTTTTTCCTTTTATAACGTGCTTGGTTTAACGTCTGTAAAAATAATCCACAGCACAACTGCAAAGAATCCATTCAGTCTGGCCAAGATTTTTGAAACTGGGTGCCTCCATGTTTGGGTGACCAACAAGGATGCTCAACACTTTCTGAAAATCAGGTCCCTTTAAGGTTTCTTTAGTGGGACCTCCCAAAAATTGAGGCACAGAATCATTAGTCACTTCTGAAAATCTTGGCCTCTGAATCAATGTTCACTACTTTGTTTTTCACCTTATGTATCATCCAAATTCCCAGTTTCTCCCTATGTTAACCATTCCTTCTCACTTCCTATTTTAACCTCTACGCTTTTCCAGTGCTGGATGAGGCAACCTTCATGGCTCCTTCTGGCCTGCAGTAGAGAGATCCTAACTGGAGCTGGTCAAAACTTGGAATTCCCAGTTTGTGTGAAATTTTGTCACTTGGAAATTTATTTTCACTCCATTGTGAAACAAATCCCAAATAGTTTTGAAATTTCCCATAAACCAAAAATTCTGGGGGGGGGGGAAATGTGTTTCAAAAAAAATTTCATTTTGAAATTTCAGATTTCAGAATTACAATTTGAGTTTTATGGCTTTTTTTTGTTGTTTATATTTTTATTTTTACATTATTTCATGGCATGTCAGTCATATAATATATATGACAATAATATGCACTATTAGCCTTACATGTCCTCATATGACACAATAGTTAAAATATTTTATTTGTTGGTAGGTTGGTACAAATGCACACTTAGCTATTTACTGACGTGATATTGGTTTCCATTGGAGGTACGAATGTACTCAGCAGAGCAATTGTATTAATGTATTGCATTCAGACACTGGGCCCAGTTCATTCCTGCTACCAGCAGGTACAGTTGCATTTACTCAGTGAAATTCCACCTGTTTATATCTGGGCTGAATTCGGTACAATCATCTCCATTTGCCTGGTAAGCCACTCAGTATGGCTTATGATTACCATGAGGCTCATTCATACGCTTGGGTTTACTTTAGTATTAATGATACTATTCGCTCATCCGAGTTCCTTTTTTTTTTATCCCCCCTTCTCTCTTATTAGACAAAGAAAGGCTATCAAAAGACTGTCCTGGAGATCAACACACCCAAAGTAGAGCAAGTGCCTATCGTTGACATCATGTTCAATGACTTCGGAGAAGCGTCACAGAAATTTGGATTCGAGGTGGGACCAGCTTGCTTCATGGGCTAAGAGCCACCTGAAAACTAGTCTCCAAATGAGCAACCTCGTAACCTCATTGCGCCATTTTTTAAAAAAAATGTTGTCACATGCACGTTCTGAAACTGGACAGTGATGGGTTTTTTTGGTTTTTTTTGGTTTTGTTTCTTGTTTTACCTGAGTTCAACTGTGCCACTGCATCCACACTTACCGAATCCAACTCAAAGGGAGAGAGAACCATTCCCACAACAGGCTCAGAATCACATGACCTAAACACACCACATGTGGCAAAACAACCTTCCAAACATGTCAAGGGCTACAGTACATTTTTCTGCATGCTCCTTTTCACGGCCACCGATGGACTCAACTTCCTCCACTCGAATGTACAGAAATTAGAACAAATCAAAGACTTTCTTGCCATGAAACTACAGCAAGTTCTTGTTTATGGATTTTTTTTTTAATTTTTTTTTAAAGAAAAAAACTTGAAACTATGTATTCAACTTGACCTTGAAATCATGTGAGAATTCTGGGCCTGATCCAGTCCCCATTGAAGTCAAGGAGAGTCTTTTTGTTGATTTCAGTGGGCTTTGGATCAAGCCCATAAATTAGACTTAAATGGTCATTTCCAGAATGTTTGGTTTCTCCATTTAATTATTTTCACAAAAATTAACAACCCAGATCAGTGAATTTGATAGTGTAAAGTCACTCTGTGCATCTCCTTACCATGTATTAAAGGTGCTTATATTTTTGTATGTTTGTAAGTAAATATTTGTATTGTATATTATTTTAAATGTTAAATGTTGCTGGCTTCAAAACATGCATGTGACCCTGTCTGCAGTAAAAGAACAACCTTTCTCACCAGCACCCCACACAAACAATAAATCTAGAAAGGGTGGCAGTTAAGGTTATTTCCATTGTTTGTGTCCAAGTCAAGGCTCTTGCCCACACTTACAGCACATTCTTAAGCATGTCAGTAACCAACGGAACTACTCGGGCTTAAAGTTAAGCATGTTAATAAGTGTTAGCAGGATCAGGGCCCAAAGTAGCAGCGATCAGTCAACACCCACACACATGCAAATGAATTTCAAGATCATTTTAAAAGTCACACAGCTTGGATGGAAAAGTTTTGATGCAAAATTAAATATATATTTTGTGCCACTTTCTAACAGCCCGGTTTGTAAAACCCTGATTTGGAAAATCAGAGCCCCATCTGGTTCTTTGCCTTTTTGTACACTCGCCTTAATTTTTTTTTTCTTTCTTGTTTTAATTCCATTCCAAATGGCAGATTGCACATGGCAGGGAAATCCGCTTTCCCTCTCCCCCCCCTTAAAAATAAAATTAAAAAAAAAAAAGGTGCTTTTTATTTTTACATTTCTCTTTGTGGTGCTATCTATTTTACTAACTAATACAACACTGGTGATCCCCTGCCATTGACCAATCTCCCAGCATGCTTTGCTTTAGCCACTTTCAACACAGACTGCAAACGTTTGCTACAGTCTTTGATATAAATGCATGCTACCCTCATATTCGTTATGTAGATGAGATGCTTCTTTTCTTTAAGTGTATTATGGTAGCTTATATGGCCCATGTAGAAAGTATTAAATGTGCTTACTTGGTTTGTTATTTTTTTTAAGAATATCCATACACTTTATATGGTGGTAATTATGCCAGATTGTACTCAGTCGCTGAATTTTTGTGGTGCTAATTTATGTATTTGTTCAATGTACTGAAGTGAAGATGAAACTGCCCAATTGTCTTTCTTGTTTGCTGCCTCAGCTGTAATTGCCTACAAAACAGCTCAGAGAGCAAAAGAGAGAGAGGAGAATGTGCAAATTTCCTTTGTCTTCCCACATGGCCGGCAGGAAGGCTTTTCACGTAGCATTGGGCAATTCAGATTGCAACATGCAGATAGATTGGTTTTCCCCAACTGTTTTCTCGTTTGGGTCACAGCTGGAAAATAAATATTGCAGGTTATTATTTGGCCTGGAGTACTGCAGTGTGCTTCAACCAAGGGGGTGTATCATGGTAAAGGAAATGACATCACATTTACTGTGAATAGAAGCCTATATATGATGTCCTTTCCCCTCCTAAGCAAAGGAAAGCAAGATTTGATCAAAGGGAGGTGAGCAAAGCATTCTGAGAGACCTTCAGTCATCCGCAGTGCTAGGGGAATAAACAAGAAGCTGTGACATGGCAATGGGTTGCGGTGCTTTTCATTCCGTGAGAGCCGGTGTAAACGTATCCTTGTTTTTTTCCAGTTAGGAATAAAAGGTGCTATCCAAGGAAATCACATAGAAAAACAGCAAGGCAGTGCAATCACATATATGTATTATAGATCAGAATTCAGATTCCAATTGAACAAGTGGGAATCTCAAAACTGTTGCACATTCATCTCTGCAATAAAAAAAGCCATATGGAGTTACACACACATGTGATGATGTCTAGGTCATGTGATTCGGTTATGAATTCTCCTCAAGGGAGCTTTTTTTATTTCATTTCTTTGCTTTTTCTTAAATTCCTCTGTTGAATACTACAAAGTGTTGTAATTGTACTGAAGTTCCAAACTCTTCCAATTTTCCCCTGACCACTTAGCTATGGTATATTGCAATAAAATTACTTCTTGTATTTGCAGACCTTCTTTTTGTGTAATTTTATTTCCCCCACCCTTTAATAATATATATGACTTGAACAAATGTTGATAAGAAAAATAAAACCTATGGAAAAAAAAAGTTTTTAGTGCATAAGGCCCTTTTTTAAAAATATACTGTCAAATGACACCTTGTACATTTCTTCAAAGTCCAATAAACATGTCATAAAATTTCAGTGTAATGCCCATAAGAGGTATTTTTAAATATTTTAAACCTGTGTAATAAAGGAATAAATGTAATAGATTTTTTCAATAAATCAAGTTTACTGTTTCCACCTAACCCAACGTGATGTGAATGTCTTCTTGAAGTACAGCATGATTTCCCCACACACCCTTCTGCTCAGTGAAGCCTGAAGAGTGCAGGAGAGGAGTGGAAGAGTGCTCACAATAATATATGCTGTAAAATTTAAAAAAAACCAAGCTCATCAGAGAGATCATTTGGAATTCCAGACGTCGAATCTTTTTTTGCTGAGCAACTGAAATTGACCCGACAGTCTGAGAAGGCAACATGAGGCATTTCAGACAGTACTTTGCTAATGTAACAATATGGCCTAGTGGCTATCAGTCTATTGATTATAGTACCTCGGAAGCGTACTAGGTGCTTTGCCGAGGATGAAGAAGGGCATGGCTGACCTCAAGTGCTGCATTTGTTTAATATCTGATACAGGGCCTGATTTACAAGGGGGTGTTTAGGCACCTAAAGATGCAGATAGGAACCCAGGCAGTTTTGAAAATCCCACCGGGCACGCCCGTGGCCATAAAATAGGCCCGTAGCCATTATCCGAGGTCTATCTCCAACTCTTGCAGGAGGATGGGCTCAGAGATCTGGTCCTGTAGATCTTTTCTGTCTCTAACTTATATTGGTTGAAATAAAAACCTCCCAACGCTAGAACTGCCAAGTTTCTCATGTTGGCTTTTCTAAGTATAAAAGCCAGGTCTCAGAGGTTCCCCTGCACTGTCATAAAGATGTAGTGTGAGATTTTTTTTAAAATGCCGCAGCAACTTAGAAGCACAATTCCCACTGGATGTCAAAAGGGACAGCCAACGGGGGGGGGGGGGGGAGGAGAGGGAAGCCCCCCCCCTCAGTGAGTCTCAGAGCCTGGGGTCAACTGGCTTGGGCTCACTGGGTCAAACTATGGGTCTAAAACTAGATGTTCCAGTTTGGGCTCTGAAACCTGGTGGGGAGAGTGGGTCTCAGAGCCTGAGCAGGAATATCTACCCTGCTAGTTTTAGCCCCGTAGTGTGACCCTGCAAGCCTGAGTCAGTGGACCTGGGCTCAGACTTGGTACTGCAGCTTTTTATTTGTATTTATTTATTTTTGCAATGTCGATGTACCCGATGGAGTTTGTGCTTCCAAATCACTGAGCTGCTTCTAAAAGCCCCGCCCAGAAGAGTCTGCACAGTGCTGATCATGATTATCGTCAGGAGAGTCCTCTGTGCAGCGAAGCCTTGATCCTGTGAGGTGCCGCTGCTCTCAACTCTCATTGAGCTCCGGGAGATGGGGAACTCAGCACCTCGCAGGAAGGCCCAACACTTTGCAAGACGGAGCCCCTGTTTGTAACCAGAGAGACTTCAAATAGCACTGGAAAGGGGGTGGGCTTCCACAGTGAAATGCGTGTACTGCAGCTGAAGCTTCTTTAGTGGCCCCAGACTGCTCCAGCTGGCCCTTAAACACTCTCTCCCCCCATAGTCATTAAAATAAGCTTAAAAAAATAAGGCAGGCAAGATGGTTTTGAGGACTGGTTTCTGGAAATCAAGGTTGAATTCCCAGCTCTTTTGTTTTTCCTATGTATCTTTTGGGCCAGTCCCTCTGTGTTTCAGCTCTCCATCTGAAAAAATGTGCATAGTAATACCCCCTTTCTCCAACCCTTTGTGGTATACTCGGAGACAGAAACTGCTCAAACTCAATGAGGCCCTGATCTGGGTTGGGATTTACAGACACTACTGGTATTAATTAACACAGGTACTAATCTGATTTAGATCATTCAGCAGCCAAATACATTTTTTACCTCTGCTAATGCCTTCAATAGGTTATCACTTGTTCCGCAGCCAGAAGTCACAACAATAACGGCACCCAAAGAGTCTTAACCTTGCTTCCAAACAGGCATTCTAGACCCTTTTTAATTAATGTTCTCATCAAGACAACAATTCAGAAAAGGAAGTGAATGGAAGATTTCGCCAGGTTATTGGTGGTTTCCCAATAGTCTACAGCAAAACTCAGTTACTAGACTGCAGTTGTTCCCTCTGAGCATCAAGAGGATTAGGTTTTGTTTTGTTTTGCCTTTTTGTGTTTAGCTCCAAGGACGTGTAAAAAGATTACTGTGTACAAAAACCAGTCTTAATGGATTATAGCTTCATCAATGATTTAGATAATGGCATACAGAGTACACATAAAGTTTGTGGACGATACCAAGCTGGGAGGGGTTGCAAGTGCTTTGGAGGATAGGGTTAAAATTCAAAATGATCTGGACAAACTGGAGAAATGGTCTGAAGTAATTAGGATGAAATTCAATAAGGACAAATGCAAAGTACTCCACTTAGGAAGCAACAATCAGTTGCCCACATACAAAATGGGAAATGACGGCCTAGGAAGGAGTACTGTGGAAAGGGATCTGGGGGTCATAGTGAATCAGAAGCTAAATATGAGTCAACAGTGTAACGCTGTTGCAAAAAAAGCGAACATCATTCTGGGATGCATTAACAGGTGTGTTGTGAGCAAGACACGAGAAGTCATTCTTCCGCTCTACTCTGCGCTGATTAGGCCTCAACTAGAGTATTGTATCCAGTTCTGTGCACCACATTTCAGGAAAGATGTGGACAAATTGGAGAAAGTCCAGAGAAGAGCAACAAAAATTATTAAAGGCCTAGAAAACCTGAGCTATGAGGGAAGATTGAAAAAATTGGGTTTGTTTAGTCTGGAAAAGAGAAGACTGAGAAGGGACATAACAGTTTTCAAGTACATTGGGGATTTTTAAGAGCAGGTTGGACAAACACCTGTCAGGGATGGTCTAGATAATACTTAGTCCTGCCTTGAGTGCAGGGGACTGGACTAGATGACCTCTCAAGGTCCCTTCCAGTTCTATGATTCTATAGAAAGTCTCGGTCATGGTAACAACAGCTACTGCTGCTAAGGTTTAGATTGCTATATTTCAAAAATGCTTCTTGGCAAGACTCTCTGGCTAGTGTTGCTGTCTCTCAGGTCAAGTGGAAAGATGCCATCTCCTTATGAACTTGTCCTTGGTTGCGATGTACCCCTTTTTGAACCAAGGTGCTTCTATATGTCTGTATGTACCATCTCGCTGCTAAATCCTACGTCACAACTATCAGTCCCCTCAACTCGCATTCCCTTGAGCTATAACCAGCGTTGGGTGGGCCTCAGATAAAAGGAAAGTTTGGTTAAAATATTCAATGTTCTGATACTTATTCTAGGGGCAGGTGTCCACGGTTAGTAAGTTCATGGCAAGCGGGGGTGTAAAACTACAGCACCCCAACCTGCTATGTGCTAACTGCCCATGGACCATCCTATATCAACTTACGGTTCTGAAGCATGCTTTGATCTACTGTCGTTTCAAAGCAGAGCAGATCAAAACACACTATGGACCTTTTAGGGCACAGCAGCTGGGAGCACAGGCAGTTAGTGCATGGCAGACTAGTGCGCGGTAGCTTGCCGCATGCTAACTGGTGATGTACACGAGCCCTATGTGCAAGTGAACTTCTTGGGACAGGCACAGACATCTTGAAAGCATGTGTTCTTAAGAGATTATGGGCCGGCCCGCCTCTGGATGGAATGAGGAAGAGCAGAGGTACCAAGTGTAGGAAAAAAATGTTTGAAAAATATTTGGTTAACTGATTTTCAGCCTTAAAGCAAAAGCTTAACTCAGGTCTTAGGTGATAATTCAGGCTGGTTCTTTCTTTAACCAAATTGGTTTACTGATCCCTACTTTACAAGCCGTAGAACTTAGCTACTTGTAGCAAACACTTCTGTAAATACCTCAAGGTCTAAGAGTTGGACTCAGTGGGCAGGGCCTTGTATCTAAAGTATAGGGAAAAAACTCCCAAGATTCTGAAGAGGATTTGAGTGTGTCAGGGAGCTGACAAGTGGGGAAAAGAGATGGAATAAGCCTCACTACTTTTCTTGTTGCATAGCCTCCCGAATTTGGTGCCATTGTTCTAAAAAAATAGTTACCTTTAGCGGAGTAAAATTGTTGCCCTATTAAATGAAATACTCAGGATAATTGGTGGCAGGATCTGTAACAAGAAATAATTTATTGCTGCAATCAAGCTTGTGTGTCCAAATTTGAAGTGGGAAAGGGGCTTGGATAATCAGTGTTGGCAATTTCCTCTTCCTCCCCCATGAGGAGCAAAACAGTATGAGCCACAGAGAGGCTTCATTGGCACTCAGTGTACGATCGGAGGAATTATTCTTCTCCCGCAGCCCCAGTCCCGTCTCCATTTGCCTTGTGCACAGACTGCCGCATCTAGAAGCAGGACGTGGCTCTAATTTTAGCTGGGTCATTGTAATTTTCAGTGTGAACGGATCAATGCTCAGTTGCATACAGCCAGATGTACCCAGTGACCAGCCTGAAGGAAGAATAGCTGAAGAAAGCTCCTATCACTCTCCTTTCAAACTCACGTAACCTCCTCGGTCTCCAAGATGCCATGACACAAGGCTCACAGCGGTGCACCTGGACAGAGGTTTTCCAGGAGCACAGGTACACGTCACTTCCCCTGCTCCTGTCCAGCACCTCATTTGTTTGAGAGTCACAAAGAGGTGCTTTGAAAGGGACAACTTTAGCTGGGCATTCACCAGGGAGAATGAAATGGAGACCTAAAGGGAAGTTTAGTAGCTGTATTTCTACACTGGCACTTGGAGTACAAAGGCAGAGTAATGCATGGGTATTCCAGGGAGAATCTGCCTGGGGAATGGCTGCTAAAAGCTTGCAGGCACTTACTCCGTTTGGAAGGAAGTAAATGGCAGAATTTGCCCTGGGTCCGTGGGTGGGCGAATGATGGTAGACATCAAAGCATTCCCTGTAGCTGTGAAAAATAAGAGGCATGACACTTCTGCCCCCTTGCTAACTTAGTGTATTACACCAGAGCTTAGAGAGTCTAGCCAAAAATCAGGACCACGTTGTGCTAGACTGTGTACAAGCACATAGTGAGAGACAGCACTCCCCATCTAAATAGGGAAGACAGAGGAAGGGAGGGGAAACTGAGGCACGGGACAACAAAGTGACTTGCCCAAGGTCACACCACAAGACTGTGTGATAGAATCAGGGA